AGCTAAAAAAGTTAAGGTGGATAGTTAAAAACTACCTATTTTATAGTCTAGAAGGAAAATGACATATCCCCACAATGAAATGAAATGAGTGTTTTTTTTCCCCTAACTGAGTTAAGTCCAAGAGCCACACATGAAATTTTTGTTAACGTCAACTATAAGAATAAACCCCTTCTGGCAAAAGTCCCCACAAGCAAGTGTTAAGTCCAACAGTGACAGACAATTTTTTCTTTTGCAACTTGTAATTAGTAAGCAAAAACTCAGCTCCCTAATATAAAAGAAAGCCTTTTTAAGTTGAAAAGAAAAGAATAACAGAGTACAGAGTCACATGAGAATAACAATGAAGAAATGAGACTCTGGTTTCCTTCAACAACTTGCAAAAAAAAAAAAAAAATCTGAAAGCTTGGTAACACCAAGTAGAAAATAATTATTTTTATGTACTCCTGGAGGAAATATAAATTATGTCAACCAAAGCTGGAGAGCTGGCTCAGTGGTTAAGATGCCTGCTGTGCAGGCTTGAGGACCAGAATTTAGATCCCCAGAACCCAAGTAAACGCCAGGTTGGTATAGTGACCTGCCTGTAATTCCAGAGTCCACAAGCTGACATGGGATCTCCAGAACAGCATGGCTAGCAAGACTAGCCCATCTGAGGCTCTGGTTTGGTTCAGGGATGCTGCCTCAGTGAATAAGAAGGAAGAGCAGTAGAGGATGATCCCTCACATCAGCCTCCAGTCTCCACAGGCACCCGCACACACGCAAACACGCATACATTCATGTGCCCAGTGCACACACAAAAATGAAAACAAGATTGAATTATAGAAACCTTCATGTAGATAATTTTGGTGTGATTGTTCCTTCAGCTGGGAGTTCTGCCTCTGTGGATATACTTGTAAAATGACCGTCACAAAGTTATTAACTACTGAGATGATTACCAGGAACAACCCAAATATCCAACCTTGGAGCTTTCTTGTAATGGACTACTAGTTGGCTGTGGTAAAGAGAGAGAAATGGAGGGGTGGAGTGATAAAAAAAAATTATCTATAAGATGCAGTAAACACAACGTTTCTAATTAAATCAAAAGTAACACTTTTACCTAACCTTGACCTATGTGATTACATTTACTTTACTCCTGATTATACATTCCTTTTGAATTTCTCAAACTGCAAGTTGCAATAACAGTTTTAAATTAAGTTTGGTTTAAATTCATTATTGAAAGACAAAGCTGCAAAAACTATAAATATGAACTTGACTCTCCTTAGTCAGTTTAGGTTTTCTTCCAACATCTCTATTATGTTTTAGCTTCAAATATAATTATTCTGTTTTGCATAGAAACATGTGAGAACTCTATGAGTTATTGGTTAGGGAGGCCCTAGAGGCCCCCGAAACAACACAGGCTATTGCCCTTGCTCTTGGTTGCCCACCAGAACTAGATGGTCAGACCCTATTGCTAAAAAAATACCACACACTTTTGTTGCAGGACATGAAGAAATCAAGCTGGAACTGACCTGAATATTTCTTCTCTGCTGGCTAGCTTTCGTGGTATAGGAAGGTGCTACACAGTTCACTGGAGAAGAAATCACATCAATCGTAGTACCCAGTAGTAGAACTGTGTATGCTATAATACCAACCTGCCAGGCAAGATGTGCCCACTGGTACCTTGATGGCACAACAGTTATGGGTACAATCAACTGCATTTAGATTAGACTTAAGGTCTACGCCACAGGAGGGAATTCATGCCTGGTACTGTAAACCTGGTCAAAGGCCCATGGTTAGGGTCGATATAGGTAGAGGGGAACCTAATGCTGTCGTTTTGCTAAATAGAAGTATCTTCAAATTGCTTTCTAAATACATAAGTTTATATTGTAGATTAGTGCTACTCAGTCTTATCCAGAGAAGCATCTCTCTACACGGGGCAGCAGTTAATGTAGAGACTCAAAGCTGACCAGAGAGTGATGAGAATAAGTGGCCATTAAGTACTTAGCCCTAAATGGGACATCTATATCAGCACACATCCCCACCCAAGGCTCAGGGAACATTGTCGATGAGAGGCAAAAAGAATGTAAGGATGGAGGGTAGGGAGGAGCGCTGTGAAGTGCTGTCTTCAGGACATGACGTGGCCACTGTTCTCATGAACTCACTGCAGCTATGGGCACCTGGACAAGCCAACAAGATCTGTCAACACCCAAAAGACAGTGCTAATTAGACCAATCAAAAAGACATAAAGGGGACAAGAGGAACTGGGGGTGACTGAGGGGAGTTGGGGTTAGATCTGATAGAGATATACTATTTACATGTATGAAATTTCAAAGATTAAAAGATAATCTATCAAAAAATAAAAAGAAATAAGTGAGAACATTCCTTCATCAAGTATCCAACCTTATCACTAGAAATTCTCAGTCAATTCGATACTCTTCTTAGCGTGTAAGTCTCTTACAGTTTTTATATTCAAGCTTACATTCTTTGTGATGTGGATGAAGTTGGCTGAATAAGTTAATTGACCATCTGCATTTCTTATCTATTTTTCTTCCTTGGGAAGTGGAATATAAAAAAAATACTCCTTCTATCTTTGAGTTAAAAATCATTTCCTTGCCTGGGTGTGGTGACACATGCCTTTGATCCCAGCACTGGAGGCAGAGGCAGGCAGATCTCTGTGAGGTGGAGGCCAGTTTAGTCTACATAGGAAGTTCCAGCCAGCCAAGATTATATGCTGAGACCCTATCTCAATCATCATCATCATCATCATCAACATCGTCATCAACATCATCATCATCATCATCATCATCATCATCTCAAAAAAATCTAAGATTGATGTTGAACACCTGTAATCCCAGCACTGGGGAGAAAGTTGAAGGAAGGAGATCAGAAGTTCGAGTCCATCTTTAGATACATAGCAAGTCTGAGGCCAGTCTGGAGTACCTGAGACTGTCTCAAAAAGAAATGCTTTTTGTTTGCTTTTGTTTTTTTTCGAGACAGGGTTTCTCTGTGTAGCTTTGTGCCTTTCCTGGATCTCACTCTGTAGCCCAGGCTGACCTCGAACTCACAGAGATCCACCTGGCTCTGCCTTCTGAGTGCTGGAATTAAAGGCGTGTGCCACCACCGCCTGGTTTCAAAAAGAAATCTTTATAAAACTGTACACCAACATATATACCCAACCCAGGTTGCAAGTGTCTTTCAAAACACTTCACATAGTTATTAAGTAGTTTATCATTCAGTTGTCTTCGTGTTTGACTTCTTGCACTACTTCAGAGATAGGAACCTTTTTTCTTATTTACTACACTTAAAAACTCATCTTGACACATCACTATGTGATATTTTATACATCTTTACTGTATTTACAAGTTTATTTACAAAAGGTTATCCATCTTGATGATGGTTTAATATTTATTTCTCTTCTTTTTTTTAGCCTTTATATCCTTTTATTAATGTGCCAAGGGAAACTGTACACTTATTTTTAAATATTTGAATCATTTAAAATAAACTAAAATTGAATATTTCATAGTTTAAATTACAAACCAAGATTCTTCTTCCCAAAATACCTATCTTGATTTACCACAATTCCAAACAAAACAATCTTTTTAAAAAATATTTGGAGAAAAATTTTATTTGCATTATAAAAAAGTTGAGTCAGGATAGAGAAGTCTGCTAAGTTTGGACCAATTTTTCCTATTTTATTTCTTTAGATGCACTTAATTTTATAATGCAAATAAAGATTTTCTCTGTGTAAAGCATGATTAAGATAATGAAGTATTTTTTCTATTCTTCAAAAAAAAAAAAAAAGGTCAATGAAGCTAGCTATGATTACAAACATCTGTATCCCTGCATGTGGCAGGTGGAGGCAGGTGGAGGCAGGAAGATGAGGAGTTCAAGTTCATCCTGGGCTACATGGTGAGTTTGAGGCCAGCCAAAGCTACATGAGACCTTGTCTCAAAACAACAATGAATGTCTACTGGAAAACAATGGGTGTTACCCATCTCCAGGTGAGTTCCATGGGTAGCACAGTTCAGCATCTTCAGAAAGACCAATAAAACCAAAGGAGGGATGAGTACCACAAGCCACGTCAGATACGGAGTAACCAAGCTTACTAGTGAGTCTCTGTACCCATCCAGAGCCTATCTATCTTCCATTCAAAACCACTGAATTTTTCCTTGGGTTATAGTAATGACTGCTTCCTTAACCCGATCAGATAGCAGATTTTTTTTTCTCTAATGTAATCACCATTTCATGGTTTATACAAGACATACCTTTAGTACATCCAGATTTTCATAACCCATCAAACAGTTTTTCAGTATGTGTTATGGCAGGATATTCTAGAACTGCCAAGAAAAGTAAATTCACAGAGCCGCCTGCAATTCAGTAACTATCGCAAATTAGCATAAATAGCCCTGTTTTAGAAGGAACGGCTTTTGCAAGTCATACAGGAAAAATAATGTGGCCTTGCATTTGTATCATTAAAAACTGCCTGTGTACAGCTTCGCCATGAATATTAAACACAGCCCAATCATTCAGCACACTAATGTACTTGGGTGAAACTCTTTAGTGAAACATTTGGTTACGATCACAAGACTAACTAGGAAAACTAGCTAACAAGCACCTATTTTTACGGATTTTTTTCATCTTAAAAGGAAAAAATGCATATCAAATAAAACCTCTCAACACTTGTCAGCTCTCCTGTGAACATACCATATAAATGGACGGGCACCGGCTGCCAGGAAAAACGAAAGGCCAAATTACACTCATATAACCATGCTGTCAAGTTCAGAGAGAAATCTGTCCTAGACCCAAGCCATCCACACGGCATACAATGAGTCTGTTAACAAGAACTAAGAATGGATAAAATTCTTCAGATTTCTCTGCATAGATCTTTCTTCATCGCCATCATAATTTAAAATGCCTCTGGCTAGTTGCTCAAGGCACAAAACAAAGGTACTTTCAAATAGCAAAAAGTGCTTAAATTCTATCCATTCCAACCCAAACTCCAAAAAGTGTAGAAAACCATGGCTTACCTAGGTGCAAACACATCCACGGTGCTGTAGGCTGCCAGTGGGATGCTCAAGAGTTGTGAACATTATCTAGAGCAAAAGAAAAAAGGGGAAACACATTAGAGCCAGTTTTGAACAATACTGCTTTGAACAGGAGACTTTTTATAACCATTTGAGGAGGATTCTCCTTTAAGCACAGTAGCTCTGAACACGTTTCTCCTGGTCCCAGTCCTGCCACTCCTGAAGGGTACTGATGAGCAATTTGCTTAAGAGAGGACAGGAGAGCCTAGGGGCCAGAGGCAGGGAAAAAAGCATGTGTGGGCAAGGCAAAGGGGTGCCAAAGGAGTGAGGTTTAAGAAGAAAGTAGGGGAGGCCAGGGTGGCGGGCACATGCCGTGGGTTCCAGCATTCAGGAAGCAGAGCCTGGAGAGTCTCTGAGTTCCAGGCCAGTCGACACAAGGAGCACCACGCCAGTCGAGACTACACAGTGAGACCTTGTCTCAAAGAAGAGCAGGAGGGGAGGAAGAGGAGTAGGGAAAGAGGAGGAGAAACTAGTCTTGCGCTTGCCAGCGACCACCTGGCTCCTATTTCTCAGTGGGAAGCTGTATTTCCATTTCCATGGGCGTTCACTGCTTCTCAACTCAAAATGTCAGACTCATCTTTCACCCAGCCACGTAACCCCTTGTACCTCCCCACTCTTGTTCCCTAGTGTCAGCAGGTGATAAATTAGCCATGCTGGGAACCGGGAGCATCTGGATGAATCCCTTTTCTATCGGACGGAATCTGCCTTCTTGAAATGTTTCCAGTTGCTTGTCTTTGGAGGCAGAGCCAGGGCTGAAACTCAGACCTTGAGTATGCTAGGCAGGCACTCAACCACTAACCTACATTCCCAGCCACCTAATTCAGACCAGTCCAAATTTGAGAATGTCTTAAAATTCTCACTCTCTCCTTCCAGATGTAGACTTTCTGATCCATTTTTTTTAATACCAACATCCACCCCTGCCCACCCCATCACCACTGAGCATAGCATGCCAAGGTTAGTATCTCACTTTTGGAGTCATATGCTCTTCCCATATATTTTCTTTTCTTTTTATTAATTAAACTTTTTTTCATTTATTTTACATCCTAACCACAGTTTGCCCTCCCTCCTCTCCTCCCATTCCCCTCCCCACCCTGCCTTCCCTCTACACCGCTCCCCCCACTTCCCCCATCTACTCCTCCTCCGTTCAGAAATGGGTAGGTCTCCCATGAGCCTCAACAAAGCATGCCACATTCAGCTGAGGCAGGACCAAGCTCTACTCTCTACATCAAGGCTGGACTAGGCAACCCAACATGGAGGATAGGTTCCCAAAAGGCAATTCAAGCTCCAGGGATAGGACCTGATCCCACACCAAGGAGCCCCACAAATAGACCAAGCTACACAACTGTCACACACATGCAGAGAGAGGGCTTTGGTTGGTTCCACAGGCTCTACCCCCTCCCCCCCTCCTGCCCCCCCCCCCCCCCGTCATGACCTTTGACCCTCCCAGCTCATACAATCCCACCTCCCTCTCTTCAACAGGACTCCCAAACCTCAGCCTAGTGGGGGTAGGGGTGGGAACATGAGGGATCTGGTTAAGAAGGTTGGGGGCAGGACAGAGGGGGAGAATAATGAAAGAGATATCTTGATGCGGGGGAGGGGGCGCTTTTCAGGGTTAGAGAGAAACCTGGTGCCAGGGAAACTCGCAGGAATCTACAAAGATGACCCAGCTAAGAATCCTAGCAATAGTGGAGAGGGGGCCCGAATTGACCATCTCCTGTAATCAGATTGGTGACTACCCTGTCTTCAGAGTCCTCATCCAGTATTGTGTTTTCGAAGTTGAGGGTGCCCAGGAAGAGTGAAGTGCTCGGGATAGAGCCCCTGGCTCCTCCTACTAGCCAAATGCTCCAGTTTGGAGCTGCCGCTCTAGCTATTCTTAATCTGCAGCCAGGGCACTTGCTTCCTGTTTCTCCCTGAGGCTCTTGGTGCTCAGACTTCAAGTTGCTCTACTTTGGGGATGCTGTATGTTGGAGAGCACCGTGCTGGATCTAAACTTGGGAGTGCCAGATTTATATTCTTCTCACTGCCAGGTACACCTTTCTCTCCATTTCCCCATTTAGTTCTACAGCCTCATTTCCCCCCTTTGTTTTGTTTTGTTGTACCTCAGTGGTGAATCTCTTCTTTCCAGAAGTTTCTTGCCTCCAATGCTAGGGAGTGTCCGTGGTGCCCTATGCATGCCAGTGTCGCAGCATTTAGGCTGAAAGCAGCCGCTCCTTCCAATGACTGCAAGCTCTTTGGACGATTTAGACAACAGCTAAATATAAGGCATCAGGGATACAACCTGATGGATGCATTGCATGCAACTTGTGCATAAACAAGGGAAGGGTTCCAATAATTCAATTTATTGTAGATTATAAAAATCACCTGGCTGGGTATGGTGACACATGCCTTTAACCCCAGAACTTGGAGGCAGAGAAAGGCAGATCTCTGTAAGTTCAAGGCCAGTCTGCTCTACATAGGGAATTTCAGGCCAGCCAGGGTTACATAGAGATACTTGGCAGAAAAAAAAAGAAGGAGGAGGAGGAGGAGAAGAAGAAAAAGAGGAGGAGGAGAAAAGGAGGAAGAATAATCATCATCATCACCATCATCATCATCATCTGAGCACTAGGGATGTAGCTCAGTTGGTAGACTGCTTGCCCAGAATGCTTGAAGCCCTAAGATTTGGTCCTGAGCACCACATACAGCTGTGGTGGTCCACATCTGTAATCTCAGCACTTGGAAGGTAGAGACAGGTGGATCAGAAGTTCAAGATCATCCTTTGTTACATAGCAAGTGTGAAGCCAGTCTGGACAACATGAAATCCTGTCTCAGAAACAGTAAACAACAGCAACAGCACACACACACACACACACACACACACACACACACACCATACTTATATGCATGTATAAAATGTCACTATGAAATCGAGTATTTCATACAATTATATGCCAATAAAAATCCATTGTTAAAAGGCATTATCTGAGTGATTTGCAACAGTGGAACCCTTTCTCTGAAAGACACACAAGAAACTAGTATAAAGGTAAATGAATCTGTAGAAAAGGACTTACTGTGAACCCTCCCACACATACCCCACAGGGCCTTGTGCATGTTAAGTATTTTACCATTCAGCTGTAGGCCCTGCATATGTATCTATCTTATATATTCTGGATGAATATATGAAGAACAGGAATACTGATCACACTGGAAGGTAAATTGAAGTATCAGGAAGACAAAATTGGAGAGATATCTTTTATAATACATTATTTTAGACCTTGTAGAACTTTCAATCATGTTGAGTGCATATGGTCAAAAACCTTATAAAGGAAAACATTTTAATTAGGCCTGATTGTTTAAGCTAGAAGTGGTCCCAGAATTCCACACCTTCAACAACCTATCTCCTAACACTGACGATCATATAAGGTTGGGAAACTGTGCTAAGGTTGACCTTAGAAATCTAATTTAGAAGTTGCCAAACCTAGGCATCATCTCTGATTTAATCAGAATACTCCAGAAGGGGACAGGAAGACCAGTTATTTTCCATAATAGCTGAGGAGATGCTGACTTCCAGTTTGCTTGGATACTGCTGATCAATGGCCCAGCCAATGCACAAATTTCTCCTCAGTCATGTAAGGATGGAAACATCTCTGTCTTGGAGGCAACCAACTTGCAAAGGGGCCTCTAATAATTGCCCCTGCTGTTATCTGAATGCTATGTGGTTCCCTCTCACATTCCATAGGCAACAGGATACTGTGGAAATCATGAGTTAGGCTGCAGACAGGGCTCAGTCACTAAATTCCTTGCTCTGTAAGCATGTAGATCTGAATTTAGATCCTCAGCACCCATGTTACAAGCTGGTTAGGGTGGCATAGGCCTATAATGCCAGCACTGGGGTAGGGGGAAAGGCAGAGACAGGAGGATTCCTGGAACTCAGCGGTCAGCCAGTCAAGCCAATCAGAGAGCTCCAGATGTATTCCCTGAGTGCAATGATGGCATGTGACCTCTAACTCCAGGCTATAAGGGGTACTGTGGCTTCAGTCTTGCTTTCTCTTGCCTTGTCCACTCTGGAGAGGTTAGGTGCTGTGCTATAAGGGCCCTGGAAGAGACCAAATCTTCTATAATAGCCATCACTTAGTGCTATCTAAATGAATAAGTCAAAGGGCATCCTTCAACCCCAGTTCAGCCTCCTTTTATCTATCTATCCATCCATCCATCCATCTATTCATCCATCCATCTCATCCATCCATCCATCTATTATCCATCTAGCTATCTTTCTATCTATGTATTTTTAATTTTATGTGCATTGGTGCTTTGCCTACATGTATGTCTGTGTGAAGGTGCAGATTCCCTGGATCTGGAGCCAAAGACAGCTGTGAGCTGCTATGTGGGTGCTGGGAGCTGAACTTGGGTTCTCTGGTAGAGCAGTTGTGCTCTCAACTGCTGAGCCATCTACCCAGCCCCTTATCTGTTTATTTTCAGGCAGGGTCTCTTGCATCCCAGACAGCCTCAAACTGCATCTTAGGCTGACCTTGAACACCTGATCCTCCTGCCTCTACCTCCTAAGTGTGGGGAATGTAGGCAGTGCTGGGGACCCAACCCAGGGCTTTGTGTATCCTGGGCAAATACTCTGCTGACTGAGCTGTATCCCAGGCACCGAGTCCAGCCCTCTGAAGACAGCCCTGGAGAGACCCTGACACAGAAAAGCACATACTAAGCCACTCCAATCCCTGTCCCAATGAGACATCGTGCAATGTAATAAATACTTTTTGATGAATTTGTCCTTTTAAACAGTTAAGGTTTTTTGAGGGAGAGATGAGACCGAGCCTCTTTACACAGCTAGGGGAAAAAATAAGGTTATATTACATAATCTTATTTGCCTGTAACTATACTTGTTACCAGTGGCCCCACTTCCATCTCATGGAAGTTATGTCTTCAAACCAGTAAGGAAGATCTGAACTCCCTCTGCTTACCCCAGGGAAGCATCAGCTCTGAGTACATTGGGGCTTACCCACCTTCCTTCCTTTGCTTTTCCGAGTCTGGGAAAGGCAGATGGGGAAAACTCTGATGATCTTCTGAGTAGTGACATCTATTAGTTGTCTGTCGTGGAAACAGAACACACACACACACACACACACACACACACACAC